ATAATTTTCCCCAATTTATTCAAGATTTTGCTGGATGGCCTCAATTGTGAATAATTAATTTATCTTGAGAATTAAATAAGTAATTTGCACATAATCGCATTGACTGCCGCAGGCAATTATGGAAACCTCTATAAATAATGAACTCATTTATGAGGCAATAACACAATAATTGATTTATCTTAATTTCCTTTCTTCACACACACACACAAACGCAGGCATTGATTAGGGTGTGGGTGGCCGAGTGTGCGTTAGTGTGCTTTTCGACATTGTATTTGGAATTAGGCTTGCCTTGAGGTATTAATTCGGATTGTGTTACGTGTTGCTACATTCTTGACATTATGTGTGATTTCAATTATATTAATTGATACCAATGAACTCTTGTTTGTGTGTGTGTGTAAACATTTATATGTGTATTTGTTGTTAAAATTTTGAGTGATTTGAATAATAATGTGGGCAGGGAGGGAAATATGAACTAAAATATATATTGATTAGTCATTAAAAATAAGGAGAGGGGAGGGGTCAACGTGTATTAATTGAACCATATAAATTCGAATTTGAAAACAACAATTGTGGACTTTCAGGAAAAAGTTTCTACAGTAATACGGACTTTAGTTGTGGGTATTTTAAAAAATTATGATTGAAATTATTCCATAAAATTGCTATCTTATTTTTTTTTATATTTTTTAATGCTCTTCTATGCCTTTAACTCCTCTAAAATATTCCGAAAAATGAATTTCTTTGGCTCTGAGGGGTTTTAAAAATATATTTTCATAAATCTGTGAAAAAAGTCTTGAAAAATCAATGAATGTAGCAAAGCGGAGTTTTTGAAATATATTCTTTAAAAATCCACTCTGAAGGACTCAGTCATAGTATGTATTTCCAAAATCACCTCCATATCTCAATTTCAGATACCAACGAAGACCTCAATAGGAAATTTCGGGATTCGAGCACAATTCCTCCACACAATGCCCAATTTGTACCACTTAGTACCTTCCGAGCAATTATAGTACACGTTTCCACAATCACCTCAATATATCAATCTCAGATACCAAGAGAGACCTGAATATCAATTTCCGCGATTCTAGCTCTATTCCTTTACCAATTCCAAATATATAGTACCATTTAGTACTTTTCGTACAATTATATTACACATTTCCCTCCATCCACCTCATATCTCAACACCATATACCAACAGTGACCTCAATATCAATTTTGGGGATAACAACTCTATTCTTTCATCCAATGCCCTATTTAGTACAATTAAGTACTTTTCGTACAATAATAGCACACATTTTCAACACCACCTCCATATCAAAATTCCAGATATCAACAGAGACATTAATATCGAATTTCAGGATTCTAGCTCCTTTTCCCCAATTTCCAATTTAGTACCCCTCAGTAACAATTATAGAACACATTCCCATACCTACGGCCAAATCTCAATCCCAGATACCAACAGAGACCTTAATATCAAATTTGAGGATTTCAGTTATATTACCTTTACCCGAAACCAAATTTGGTACCATTTAGTACTTTTCGAAAAAATAGAGTGCACATTTCCAAAGCCACCTCCCTATATTAATACCAGATATCAACAGAGACCTCAATACCACATTTCGTGATTCCAGCTCTATTCCATCACTCAATACAAAATTTAGTACCGCTTAGTACTTTCCGAATAATTATGGTACACATTTTTAAAACCACCTTCATATATCAATTTCAGACATCAACTGAGACCTTAACATTGAATTTTGGGATTTCAGCTATATCCCGTCACTAAATTTAGTACCATTTAGTAATTTTCGTAAAAGTATAGGACGCATTTCTGAACCACCGCCAAATCTTAAGCACATATACCACCAGTAATCTAAATATCAAATAATAGAATATTATCTCTATTGTTTCACACATAACCAAATATAGTACTATTTAGTACTTTTCGAACAATTAAAGTACACATTTCCGAAACCACCTCCATATCTCAAAACTCAGATACCAACAGAGATCTCAATATCAATTTTTGGGGTTCTAGCTCTATTTCTTCCTTCAATTCCCAATTTAGTACCACTTAGTACTTCCGGAACAATTATGGTACAGATTTCCAAAACCATCTTCATATCTCAATTCGAGCTATCAACAGAGACCTTAATATTGAATTTTGAGATTGCAGCTATATCCTTTCACCCAATATTAAATTTAGTACCATTTAGTATTTTTCGTACAATTTGAGTACACATTTCCAAAACTACCTCCATATCTCAATTCCAGATATCAACAAAAACATTAATATCGAATTTTGGGATTCTAGCTCTATTTCTACCCCCAATTCCTAATTTAGTACTTTCCGAACAATTAAAGTACAACGTCCCAAACCTACCATCTCCATATCAAATTTCTGGAATCCAGTTTTATTTCATTCACCCAATACCAAATTTAGCACCAATTAATACTTTTCGTAGGAATATAAGACGAATATCCAAAACCACCTACACATATCGATTCCAGATGCCAACAGAGATCCCAATATCAAATTTTGGGATTCCACCTCCATCCCTTCATACAATACCAAATTTAGAACCATTTAGTACTTTTCGTACAAATATAGGACGCATTTCCAAACCACCGCTATATTTCAAATAAGGTAAATACGATATACAATACAATACCAAATTCAGTACCATTCAGTGCTTTTTGTACAATTATAGTACATATTTCCGAAACCACCTCCATATGTCCAGGCGACACAAGAACAGCTACCACAATACCAAATTTCAGATTTCAAGCACTATCCATTCACCCTTTACCAATTGTTACCAAGTATAGCACTATTTTATACTATTCGAACAATTATAATACATATTTTCAAAACTACCTCCACATGTCCAGGCAACACATGAACAGCGATCCTGGTACCAAATTTCAGATTTCAAACACTATCTATTCACCCAGTTGTAAATTGTACCAAATATAGTACTATTTAGGACTTTTCGTGCACTTGTTGTACTCGTTTTCAGAACCGCCTCTTAATCAAAAACTCACCACCAACAGGGACTTCAATAAAATTTTTAAAATTCCAGCTTCACCCGTTTACCCAAACCAAACTATTCCAAATTTAGTACCTTTTGGTACAGTTCACACACTTAGCACACATTTCCAAAACCGACTCCATACCTCAATCGCAGATACCAACAAAGATAACACCTTCATGGGACTAGGATATACTGGAACAGCGAACTCAATATCCAATTTCAAACTTCAAGCAATACAGGGTGAGATTAAAAAACTGCAATCAATTTCAGACAGCTGTCTTCCTAAGCCACTCGTCCGACAGCTGTTAAAATTATTCCAGTGACAGCTTATTATGTTGATTACAATCGAACAAAATCATTTTGGTGAGAATTTTCAAAACAAAAAAAATGTTATTCGTGATGGAATTCAAGCGTGATAGAGGTAATTTCTTTATATTTGGCTGGAAAACCTCAAGTGGCGATCGTTAGAGCACTCAAGCATTGAAATGTCAATAAATCTTTTGTGTCTCCTACCATCGCTTGTTACCGAGATACTGGTAGCGTTGCCCGACCTCAAGGAAGTGGACAAAAGAAAACAGCAACATCAGCAGAAATGGTTCGAAAAGTAAAGAATCGAATTGGCCGAAACCCGCGTCGCAGTGGCCGAAAAAGGGCTCATGAGCTGAACGTATCGCAACATTCCATTCAGCAAATATTGAAAAATGAACCATTGAAATTCCAAAAAGTGCAAGAACTTACACCGCCACAGAAAAAAAATAGACCCGAAAGAGCTAAAGAGTTGCTTCGCTTGGCCGAAAGTGGTGAATTGCTGAATTTGGTTTTCTCCGATGAGAAAACATTCGTTGTCCAGCAGATTGTTAACAAACAAAATGATCGTGTCAACTTGCCGAAGAAGTCAGCTGAAAATGTGCACCTTCGGTTGGCCGGCCACCAGAACTCAAGCGCCGGTCATGGTGATGGCATGGGCCGCCATAACAGCCGATGGTCGCTCTCCGCTCATATTAATTGACCGTGCCATCAGAATAAATGGCGAATATTATCGCGAAAATATTCTGGAGGATGTATTGTAGCCTTGGGCACGCAAATATTTTGACCACTGACCTTGGAAATTTCAACAGGACTCAGCACCATCGCACTTAGCATGCGCCACCCAAGAATGGTTACAAAATGAGGTTCCTCGCTTAATTTCCAAAGCACAATGGCCACCAAAATCTCGGAATACCAATCCGTTAGGCTTTTGTGCCTGGAGTATTTTGGAAAGCAAGGTTGGCACTAAAAAATGTCAAAGTGTCGATCACCTCAAACAAGCGCTCCGCTGGGAATGAGCCAAAATACCGCAGAGCAACATTCGGTCAGCGTGTGACGGTTTCATTGGCCGTTTGAAGGCCATAATTCGTGCCAAAGGTGACCAATTCGAAAAATCTGAACTCATTCTAAAATCTGATGCTTTTTTTTCGAAATTTCTTGCTTTCATTCAATAAAATTTAAAAAATATGGCGTTTGACTTTGTTGCAGTTTTTTTTATCTCACCCTGTAGATATGGATTGTGTATTTAAAGTCTTGAACACGAAACCTTTAACTTATTTCCTACTTTTCAAAAAAAGTTTACTTAAAATATGTACTCTTCAAAATTTCAAATCTCTTTCATTCTCTCTGTCTCTCTCTCTTTCTTTATGTATCCTACATAAATTAGGTAATGCACTTTCATTCAAATAGAGTTGTTTGGTTAATGATGTGGTCCATTTCCCTTGTTAGACTTGTTACTCATTTTTTTGCATCTACTTTCCATTCCACTTATTCAGCTCAGATGATGATGGAAACGACAACGACAACGACGACGGTGATGATGATGTTTGGCAATTTAAAGAAAGTACAAAAAAAACGAACAGAAAAATAGGAAATCAGATATCTGCATGTGACTTTAGTAATTGCAACATTACGTCACTCTGACACGAATCTTATTTCAAGCATTCAAACATTCTGTCAATAACCCACTTCCCATTAAGGATGGCGTTAGCAATTCCATTCACAATGAGGTTAAAGGAAATGCAAAACAGACGGATGAATGGCATAGCCGTCGAAACTATAATAACAACAACAGCAGCAACAAAAACACAAGAAGAGGTAGCAGCACCAACACATCTAAGGAAAAACACATTCGACGACAACTAGAACTAGAACATGAACCCTGTGACTGACTGACTGACTAACCAACTGACTGTTTGTGTATCCTGAGCAGAGTAATTTTCCTTAAAAATCTCGAACAGAGTGATACAAGTCAATGGACAAATAGGTCATTACAAAATAATCTTCAGAGATGATAAATCAGTGAAAAACAAAAACAATAACAACAACAACAACAAAGTGGGAGACACTGAAAAGTAACGAAAGCAACTTAATTACAGAGAGTATTTTGTATGCAGGACACAGGTAAAAAAGAGAAACAGATTTAAAGGTTAGGCGAATAATCTAACTAGGAAATATGAAATATTTAAAAAGTTTGAATGCATTTTGAAATGTCTCAATCTGAAACCAGTAAAGAAAGAACTAAAGCCGGGCGAGCATTTGTATATTTTAAATTCGGAATTTTATTGCCCATTTGGTGCAAAATCATATATAGATATTTATGGGAGCTATATCCAAATCTGAACCGATCTCGATAAAATTTGGCAAAGATATTTCTGAGCTGTATTTGATATATTTTCCTGAATATCGGTATTACGGAGTGCATATTACGGCTGTGGGTAACAAGTACAACAAATCGGATGAACAATATATATGGGAGCTATAGCTATATCTGAACCGATCTTCACCAACTTTGCCATACTAGCTTCTAGACTCAATTCGGTCGCATGTGCCAAATTCCATCGTATTTGGGCAAGTATTAGACGTTTGGTGGACAATAAAAGGTAAATCGGACGAAGTTTTATATGGGAGCTATATTGAAATCTGAACCGATTTCGATAAAATTTACCAAAGGTATCTCATAGCTGCATTTCATATATTTCCCCAAATATTGTTGGCATATTAAGGCTGCGGAGGACTAAAATAACAAATCGGATGAGCTATATATATTGGAGCTATAGCTGTATCTGAACCGATTTCGATCAAATTTGGCATACTTATTTTCAGGCCTAATTTGGCTGGATGTGCTAAATTCCATACTATTCGCGCCATTACACGTTTGGTGCACAATAAAAGGCAAATAGGACGAAGATATATATGGGAGCTATATATAAATTTTGACCGATTATCTGCAATTTCAATAGGGTTCGTCCTTGGACCAAACAAATAAGTTGTGCAAAATTTCATCTGGATCGGGTTATTTATGCGAATTGTACTTTGTTCACAAAAATACATGGACAGACGGACCGACCGATGGACATGCATAAATCGACTCAGAATGTGATTCTATGCAGATCATCAAAAGGAACTATAGGTCTATCTCGTTTCCTTTTGTCTGTTACAAACAAATGCACAAAGACATAATACCCTTACCACTATGTGGTGTAGGGTATAAAAATGACAGAAATAGTGGAACTTGACGTTGGAAGTACACTACATTTTTGTGACATATAACTATCCACCTAGCGGTTAAAAATTCGATATGGTACGCAAGGATCATAATTAAGAGAATATTTTTTCACTTTCTATGAATACCTGAATATATGAAATCCTCGGGCATTAATTTCTCTTCTTTTTCTGCCCTTTTATAAAATTAAGCAGATCATCGGTATCGAGACTCACTGTTCTATACGTAATTTTTTGCTATTTGAGAAATAAAAGTATATTAAGTCTTTTCCGGTTTGCTCTTCATTTATTATTATAATTTTTCCGAATTTTGCACTTTTGAGATATCCAGTTAAAGCGCCTAGATATGCAGAGGCTTTCATTAATTATTAGAAGACACAAGAAACAAAAGACAATTGCGCGAGATTTATGAAAAATAGTTAATGTTTTATTGTTAACAATTTATGTTGAAAATATTACAAAACAGTAAGCAAAGGCTACAGTCGTGCGGAGCCGACCATGCGATACCCTACAACACTACAATATGTTAGAAGCCCCCTTGTGTCCAAATCCATTTTGGAAGATTTCGATATTGAAATAATGTCATAGAGGCCTGCCAAGGTGTTACCCTTATGTTACCCTGCGCCGTGCTGTTATGTATTCGAAAAAAAAATCACAATAGCCATGGTCGATTTTACAGCTTAATATAATCCAATGGTCATCCAATATGTTCGACTTTTTTCTTCTTACAGGAAAATGTTTTATTTGGTCCATTTAAACCTATGAATTTAAATCTCCATAACAATAGGCCTTAATTCTCACCCTAACTCTATTCCACGGAAAATTTTGTGAGGATCGGACGATAATTGCAACCTATATACAATACCTTCAACACAAAGTGTTGGGGGTGTAAAAAAAACCTTAAAAAATTACAAATCAAAATTGTAAGTCAAATTGAAAAAATCGCATGCGATAAAAATATGACAACAATTGCAAACAATTTAACAAACAATATTAACCTTTTTATTGGCATATTTTTACGCGATTTTCTTTGATGTTATCCTTTTCTGTCAAGAGGCCATTTCGAATAGATGAGAATTGTGAAAATCAGTCCAGCGGTTGTTGACTTATCAACGATCTAATTAACATTCCATTCTTTGATATATAAGATTGTATATATTTTGCTATATATGCGAGATTTTGGATATGAGCATCAATGTAACGGTCAGAAGTGACATTTCCGTGTATTTATAATTTCGCCAGGATAAAGAATATTCGCGGTTTAGTGGAAAATTTCGTATTTTTATAAAAAAGTTATGGTCTATTTTAACCCCTAAATTTGGTCCGATTACCATCAAAATTTGTACGCCTCTGTCCAGTCCTAAACTCTAACTGAAAAATTTCGATTTCCAATTGGTCTATTATTGTGGCCTATGGAGCAACTGCAAAATCAATTATTTTTTCTGTTTTTGGTTCATTTCAACCCCTAAATATTTTACGATCATCTCCAAAAACAATAGGGTTTTATTCTGGTTCTAGCCCCACCTATATTCTAAATTTCGTGAAGATCGAGCCATAATTGTGACCTGTATAGTGATTACAAATTAACATGGACAGACGGATGGACGGACATGCTTAGCTAGATCGACTCAGCTCGGCGAGATAGGAAGATCCATATATACTTTCCTATGTGGGAAACCAATATTTCGAGGTCTTACATAATTTTTGGTCCAATCAAACTTATAATACTCCCAACACATAGTGTTGTAGTGTATAAAAATTTCCGTTTATGAAGAATGTTAAAGGATAGATTTACTTATAATTGATTTCGAATGAAATTAAAATAAATTCGTACCAATACGTTTACTTCCTGCACCTTATAACGAATTCAACATATGTCATAATGGAAATACCAGCAGAAAAGATCCTTTATTTCCTTTCGTCCTTTACGCTTAGGGAAAATTAAAAATTAATTATATCTTTATGAGAGTTATAATAATTACGAACTAATTAATTTCTGAGAAAGGTACAGAAAGAAGTGGACTGATAATTTTCATAGTCTGGACCATAGTATGGATTGAAATATTAATTTTATACACCACAAAATATATATTCTTAACCAGCACAAAATATCATTATATATATCATTTGATACGGCCAAAACGTGCCTCTTCGAAATGACGGTTTTGGACCGTAGGTCTCTTTGAACCAAATCAGTTTTAGGATATTTTGAACCGATCTAGCGACGTGCTTACGACCATCCGTCTGGATGGCAGGTGCAAACGATAATGCTAGAAGGGAATTTCCGATTTGGTCCAAACGTAGAACGTCTTAATATTTTTATCAAACTTAGATCGAGTTGGGAGATGGACAATATCAGTCCAATCCTTCGGGTACCTCTCCCACAAATGGTCTAAATTAAAAAAAAAATATTTTAATGACAGAAACAAAACGGATAATCCGATTTTACTCCAACTTTGCAAATCCTAATAGTTGTATCAGTCAAGTGCGAAAATGAACAATATCAATCCACCAAAACGATTATAAAATCCGAAATAAGTATCCTGTTGTCTTCATATCTTCATACGTCCCGAAATTCACTGGGCTGATATTAGACATTAGTTGCACAATAAACCTGAAATAGGATTAAGGATATATATGAGACCTATATCCAAATCTAAGCCGTCCTCGATAAAATTTGGCAAAGCTGTTTCAGAGCTCTATAAAATATCTGATTCCAAATATAATTGTAGTCGAATGCATATTACGAATGTGAGACGCTTAGACTCCAAATCGGATGAAAAATATATACGAGCCATTGCTATATTTCCATGTACTTGCTTCTAGACTGAAATCGGTCGGATATACTAAAATTCAGATTTTTTGAACTGATATTGGGCAATTGCTGCACAATTAACCCGAAATCGGTTGAGGATATATATGGGAGCTATATTCAAATCTGAACCAATCTTGTTACAATTTGATAGACTTATTTCAGAGCTGTATCTGATATCTGGTACCAAAGATCATTGCTCTGGAATGTGAGGGACTTTAAACCCCAAATCGGATAAAATATATATATATATACGGGAGCTATAGCTATATCTGAACCGAACCAAATTTGAAGAACTAGTTTCTAAGTTGAATTCAGTCTTAGTTGTCAAAATTTCGTTAATTTCGGCTGTAAAGATATATATGGGAGCTATATCCTAATCTGAACCGATCTCTATAAAATTTGACTGAGGTATTTTCGAGCGATATCTGATGTCCTGTACCAAATATCATTCTTGTGGAGTGCATATTACACATGTTAGGGACCCCTAATCCCCAATACCCCAAATCGGATGAAACACATATATATGGGAGCTATAGCTATATCTTAACTGATTTTCTCCATATTTGATGCTTCTAGAATGAATTCGGTGAGATGTTCCGAAATACAGGTCATTTGGACTAATATTGGCCATTTGGTGCACAATAACCCGAAATCGATTGAAGATATATGGGAGATATATTTAAATTTCAATAGGGGTTTTTCGGCCAAACAAATACTGTTTGGAAAATTTCATCTCAATCGGATAATAAATGCGATCTGCATTTTGTTCACAGAAATGCATGGAGTGAGGGACGGACCAACTACTGTAGGATCTGTCAAGATGAAGAAGAAATCGAGACAGTCGAACACTTG